AAAAAAAAAAAAAAAACGGCCGCGAGGCAGGCCTCATTGGCCGTGGCCACGGCCGATTTGCCCGCGGCCTACCCTTCAGCTTCAGGCTTGGCCGCGGCCTTCACTTAGGGCCGCAGCTTCCTCAGTGCCTGACACCTGCTTCAAAAATGCAAAAGAAAAGAAACGCGCGCACACACACACACACACAACGAACAACGCATTCAGTGGTAAAAACTTATATTGGATAACAGCACTTACCACATCATCCGCGCTTCTCGGACATGCTCCAACCACAATTGTTGGAGTAATTTCATTCCAGTTCAATGACCACTGCCATGAGTCTGTCGATCCCAGTACTTCTTCTCCAGCTTCTTCCTGCAAGCACATCCATTGCACTTACTAAGGCTTGCACTTTTTTTTTTCTGAAACTAACATACTCCAATGCACTTGACTTCGCTTTCTTCCTGCAACAAAACCCTATGCAATCAGACTTTTGTCTTCTTCTGTTACAAAGATACAACAGAGTTCAAACCATGACAAGAACATGCACAAGGGAACGAAGACGATGGGCCTCGCTCCCCTCGTCTCCACTCTAGATTAGGAGAGATCGGTGCCGCTCCACGTACTCTCCAATTCGGTCTGTAGCTCCGCATACTCTCCAATTCGGTCTCTGTAAAACTATTACAGAGCTAGTCAAAAAAAGAAGAAAAAAAAAAAGAAGACGACCTCAAAAAGCACTCTCCAGGCTTGGACAGCTCCCAGCCTGCGAAAGCCAGTAATTGAAGAGTCCTCGGGCAAGGCCGATGAGCGGCCAATTGTGGTGGGCGGACAAACCCGGACCTCCAGATGAGCGGCCAATTGTTGTGCTCTTGGAGATGTCGTACTCTGAGTACTAACCAATTTTGAGAGTCCTTCCATGGAGAGCAGGTAGGGCAATGGCCGGTTTTTCGCGTTTTCCAAGAATCTGACAGCTCTCCAAGGACTCTCCAATGATGGAGAGTGGAGAGTGGTAGAGCGAGACCACATGACAACGAAGGTGGAGCGCCGGAGCTTCCATATTAAAAAAAATTACAAAATATGAAGCTGGACACTTGTAAGAGAAGATATTTAAAAAACATGACAGCGTCCGTAAGGACATCTGTTAACATTGTAATAAAATACAAAGAACTTGGCTCTCTATTTCAAGAGTCTATGGGTGTACCAACGGAGTTGAAGTATGAGATCACAGTGCAGTCAAGATCCGAATGTGTGCCTTAAACTACAAATCCACCAGCACTTGACCCAGCTATTACTTTCACGCTGGGCCGTATAAGCGCTACGACCTTCGGCGGTCAGGACCGCCATTGATGAATTTCATCAATTACGGCACAAAAACACCCCCGGCCCCTGCAGGTCATGGCGCCGACCTGCAACCGAACACTGATCAAATACCCTCAAAAGCACCTTCCATGGAAGAAAAAACAATATTGACAAAAAACTTGACAAAAGGCATGTCCTCGTTATTCCACATTTTCCCCAATCCTGATGCAACTTCCCATACTGCCTCCTTTGTCATGATGTTGCAACAGGATGTTCACACACACACACACACACACACACACACACACACACACACACACACACACGCACACACACTTTGGACAGGTAGATTTTCACGTGCAGCCAACAAAACAGTTGGTCACAACCACCCTTTTTTCCCCGATGTCGTGCTCAACGTTTTTTTGTGACATCCTCGCACAGGGACCATTCTAATCTTCTCTGTATCGTTCCAGTTTTAATGGATGTCCCAAGGAGAAGGTAACCCCTTTTCTTGTCTTGTGAACTTAACACTTTCAGATACAAAGCCCACACACACACAGAAAAACATCAGCATGCATGCACATATTATGCACATGCAGCCAGAAACACACCCGTAGTGTCTTGTCAATCAGTAACACCTTGAGAACTAGAACTGCTATCACAGACTCTGGGCCTATCCAGCCACATGTCAGTCCCCTCCTGAGTTGTCCTAGAGAGAGTCGAGCCGTACCAAATTGGACTGTGGGCCGGTTCCACCGTGCTTCAGACCTCCCGAGCTCATAAGAAGTTAATGGCGTTTTACCCCTTGGATAAACATCCGGTAAATCAAGTCTGTTGCGGCGATGCCTCTGTACAGCAGCCCCACAGTGACAATGGTGTGCATGAGACAATTGTGATGTGATGTCTGTTGGCCACGATGAGCCCTAAACACAGTAATCGTCATGTGTGGCCGTTACATCATACCACAATACACATCATACTGTCGTTATGTCCTCATTGTCCTGGCCTTCATCATCGAGTGTGCGACGGACTTCGTCCATCGATTTAGGCTCCTTCCCGTCTGTGGGCATCATGAGGAGCAAGGGTTTCATTTCACACCTGAATTCAATCTCTTGCCGCTCAACAAAACCACCGTTATTCCACTGTTCTCCCGGAAGCCAACTGTTTAGACATCATATCCATATCAAGAAGCGACATCTTCACCAGTGAAATTTGTCGTGAAACCCAATCTCTTGCCACTCAACATGACCACCGTTATTGAATTTCCACTGTTCTCCCAGACGCCAACTGCTCACACATCTCCATTTTACGAAGTGATATGCTCACATGAGCGGCAGACTAAGACTTCCCGTCTCCAGTGACCAAGAATTCTAATCACCTCGCCAATCGCTGACCTTGAGCGGATAGAAACTCTTCTTGCTAAGTGGATATCCCTTCAAGTTGATGTTATTGTATCAGATTCTCATCGTAGTGGTTTGAACTCATGACATGCTGTCAACTCATCACTCTTTGCACGTGTCTACCTTCTTACCCCGAATACAACGTACGGTCATTATAGCTGTATTGGGGCATCTTTCAGTCTAAATACAGCTATAATGACCGTACATTGATCGGGGGAAGAAGGTAGTACTGTCTACATGTTATCAACATATATCACTCTTAATATTACATGTCTGACGTGTCTATCATTAAACCAGAAGAAAAAGTCCGCACTTTGAAGAAAAAGTCGGCACCAGCCTAGAATCCCAATTGCCACTTTGACCACGTCAGAAAACGTAACAGCCACGATTCCACATCACTGACGGGGAATAGTTAGACTAATTGCCATGTGACCACATCAGAAAAAATCACAGCCACGATTCCACATCAATGCCGGAATACTCACACTATTGACCTTACCAACAGTGCTCCTGGACAGAGTTGTTGTCGGATACACGCACCCACATAATTCTGATCAGACAGATCTGAAAAGTCCTGGTGTGAACTTGGGGCTCGTTAGACACTCCTTGTGGCATCCTCGGGGCCCAAGGAAGTTTCCTTGGGGGTTTTGAAGGAAATTCCCACCATCGTTCCACCTATCCTTGTGGTGGTCTCCAAAGGATGATTCCTTTTGGTCACCAGCGGCCATTTCATAATATTATAGTCAGCCGCAGGGGGGGCAATGACTTGGTCCATCGGGTGATGTCCGTCTTGCTACGGTGTGGTCCAGCTGCTGAAGGCGGGAAATTTTGAGAGGCGCTGGCGACCGGAAAAAAAAAAAAAAAGACCTTAAAAAGCAATGGACCTCCCCATTTGAAAATCGATTTTCAAATTGGGTGTTGGACATCACGACGGCGACGCGCGCCAGGTGACATCCATATCTGTGATGGTGGAAACGGGCATTTGCAGTGGCGCAGTGGAGTCCTCCTTACATCATCACGAATTTGTGAGTGCCCTGCGAAGGTCCATCGCCATCGCCTCTGCATGCCGCGGCATTGCCGCCGCACCTATGTGTTGAGTCGAGCACACACAGGGAACGTCGTCGGGGACTTGACGCTGAGGTTACCGTGGTCGTGGCGAGTTGGTTGGCTGTTGTATTTTCATGGTCCATGAGCATTGTAACACACGTGCCGATGGAGGGTGGCAGCGATGGCGGACGTGCGAAGTGGTGGACGACGATCGAGAAGACGGCCGTGGCGGCCGTGCTCTTTCGTTGTCAGCAGGAGAGGGCATTGGGCAGAATGAGAGCGCAGATCCGCACGCAGAGGAGGAAAACGCTTCATCAAGTCCCGGTCGAAGGGCTGGATAACATGGCCATCACCGAGGCTGCAGTTCAGGTTTGCTGCGCCATGGGTTGTAATGTTCTTCCACGAGCGACGCCGATGTGGTGGATGAGGAGGAGGACGGGCAGGGAAGATCTCAGGCAATGCGATGATGAGACAGAGTACTTCTGGGCTGCGTATGTCGCCACGTGTCTTTCGGGCGATGGCGATTGCATCCAGTGTGGACGAACGCCCACGGGATGCGCTGCCGATGTCGATGTCGACTATAGTCGGTGTCGATCCCTCATCTTCTCTGCTGGAGGCCTTCGATAGAGGTCGACCATCAACGATAGAGGAAGCACACATGGAATAGGAGGACCAAGCAAAATTGTGATTAGGAGCAGCAGTGGCAACCTTCAATAAAGGTCAGCCATCAACAACACATACGGCAGGGCCGTAATTCTACGACGACGGTTAAGGTCCACCGAACGACGACGATGAAAGGAGCAAACGGTAGAGGACAGCATACAACACACGCACTCTAACGGGTCGTACGCCCTTGAACTGCAAGCCGGGACGTGGCGTGTGCAGTGGCTTCTTGAGTGGTCCACCGAAGACCTGCTCTTCGCCTGCCACACGTCCATGCCGACGTCCTTCTTTGCAGACCACCTCTTACGTGTACGTCCAGGCACCCTGTCGAGGACAAGCAAAAGGACAAGCAAAAGGATGACCAGGAGCAGCAGCGGCAGCCTTCGAAAGATGTCGGCCATGAAAGGCAAGTAGGGAAGGGCAGTAGCTAGACGACGATGGTACACCTCCAGCAAACGACGACGAAGAGGGCTGCAAACGGCAGACCGCACCATGGGACAAACGCCTTGTAATTTTTAACACAGAATACAGTGGGCGGTCGGAGAAAGGGGGGTCGGCTGAAGTATTCAAATTTGCCAACTGTTCGACCCCTTTCCGTTTGGCGGCACGCACTGCGAGGCAGAACACTGGTCGACGACGTCTGCAGGGGCCAGCCGGCCACCAACGCTTACCGTTGGTGTAAGGTTCCTGGAAGCCAAAAGTTGAAGACCCAAAATGTCTGTGTGCTGCCTGGTTGGAACTCCAATGGACCAGCCGACGAAAATTTACTGCCAACGACAGGTGCCCTTGCCGCTCCGATTATCATCGATCCTTGCCCTCCAAAGGACCTCGGAGGTCCCATGGGGAATGCCACCAATTTGCTGTAGCCCAAGGATTCCCCAACGAATGTTTGCACTTTTTTTTTTCGTTTTCATCCCCGGCGATAGGTGGAACGAAATTTTCCTCAGGTTTAGCGTCTAACGAGCC